ATCCTTCATCCTTCACACATGGATGAGCTTATTTGATTGTAAGTATAAGACACACAAACAATAACACAATGCAAAATGCAAACTTGCATGCAACGCTCTGATCCTTCACACATGGATGAGCTTATTTGATTGTAAGTATAAGACACACAAACAATAACACAAGCAATCATGCAAAATGACATGGGTTAAAATCGAGGAAGATGAAGATCTAGTAAGGGGAATGTCTGCACATGCCTTGCACACATGCTACCTTCAGCATACGCCTCTGGAAAGTGGGCTGATCGGCCGAGATGTAGCTGTGATCATAACGAGGAAAGACCATCTGTGCATTTGAGTCCCCAACACAAAGAGACAGGAAATCCCCAGAAAAACAGATGGAGGAGGAAAAGACAAAGGAGAAACAATAAGAGCATTGAAAACTTCAGATTGAGGGATAGTGAGGAAACTGAGCAAGATCTCAGGGGCCATGAAGGGAGACGGCCTTCCCGGACATGGAGCGACTTGGAGATGAAGGCTATGGCAGCAGAGAAGAGACCAACCTTAATGAGAATCTGATTACTATGCAGCCCTACATGAGTGCCATGACCCTGAGAGAGGAACAGGATGGACAGAGGAGCAGAGATACACAGACCAGTCATCAAAAAAGCATTGACAGAGCATTTCGCTGCCTCTGGATTGTGAAATATCAAACCCAGTAGAGCACCTTGCAGGAATTTGGTTGATTTCGCTTTAGTTCAAGATATATTCTTCTAATGACAGACATATAACGGTCAGAGCAATTATTTTTGACTATTTTTAAATAAAAGCAACGAAACGCTGCGTCTCAAAATTGACCAACATCCTTGTCAATGCACACTACCTTTCAAAAGTTTGGGGTCAGTGAATTTTATTTTATTTATTTATTTTTTAAGAAATTAGGAAATTTTTCTTGATCATCAAATCCGCATATGAAGGATTTCTGAAGGATTGTGTGACACTGAAGACTGGAGTAATGATGCTGAAAATTCAGCTTTGCATCATAGAAATAAATTACATTTTAAAATATATTAATTTATTTTAAAAACACAGTATTACTGTATTTATTGTATTTCTGATCAAATAAATAGAGACATCTTTCAAAGACACTTAAAAAATCTTACTGACCCCAAACTTTTAAATGATGGTGTACATTTTATGTACATTTTTTCCCATGATTTTGTAAAAAAAAACTGTAAAATAAGTGTTTATTTAAATTAAGCAATTTTTATTTGCTGTCATTATAATATATATGATATGATATGATATAATAATTAAAACATTATGAATAAAATCCCATTTGCTTATACAGTATATAGTATACATTCGATATATATTGTTGAGTTCTCATTGGATATGACTGGATCGGTTATTCAAACTCATGCCATACGGACAATGTGTCTGCACTGCATAAATAGAACTGTGATTCAAATACAACATGACCAAATAATGTAAAATTGTTGGTCTTGCCACCCTGAAATAACACTGGACAAAAACCATGGTTTTATTTTTGTTGTCTTAAATCACATTGGTCTGAACAACATACAGTATTTATGTTCACTTGTCTCTGCAAACCACAATCTGAGGGCTGGATTGTGCTGACAGCAGTAACAGAGAGCTGCTCGAGAAGCACAGAGAAATGTCACATGCCTGCCGCAAAATTTTTTAAATAAGGTTGTGCCGTCCAGGTAAGGAAGGATGTCACTTTTTTCTCTCTTTGAACTTGAGAAACTGACAAAAATTGAAAAGTGTAAGGATTATTTTATAGTCTTTTTTTTTTTTTAACCTGGCAAAGCTTTGAAAGTTAAAAAGCTAATCAAAGTTAGCTTCAAAACATCGGAGAACTAAAGCCTTGCAACAGAGAAAGAGAAAAAAAGAGCAAAACAGAGAGAAAGTAAGGGTGACACAGCATGTCGATGCCAGCGTGAGGGTTGCGTTAGCAGGGTTGTGGTGACCTGAGGGATGCTTGAGGTTTCCCACACTGCTGTTTTACTCAGCACTACACACACGCTCAGCTAACTAAGCTTCCCATAGACTTCTATTGTTCTTACATTATATAAATTACGCTAATTATATTTTCAGCAGACTAACCCCAACCCTAAAATAACACTTGTGGCATTTCTAGAAGAAAATAAAGACATCATTTACTTTCTATTTTTCCTTTTGAGAGCTTCCCCACAGGGAGGTTTGTTAGGATTTAGCTGGCCTGTAGACATTTTTCATTTTTGTGCTCTGAAACATACAATCAACACACATGCACAGATACACACACAGCACACTCCTTAGTGAATCAAAATAGATTAAAAATAGATAACTCCCATGATTGTTTCTTTTAAACATACAAGAGGAGCAGGATATGTATCAGAGCACTGTTCATTTCAAAAAGTCATTTCAAAAAGTAAAATTTTATATGATTATGTTTGAATGTATGTGTGTGTATATATAAACCATTTTTATTTATATAAAGTATAGTGCTTAATTGAAATACATACTTATTTTACAGTGTATTAAAAAAATTAATGTTGACACAAATGTTGGTAAATTGACAAAAATATTGGTGAATTTCGGAACACGTAGGCAAAATGAACACTTCTTTGTTTATTGCTAATAATTTCAAAATAGCCAAATATTGACCAAATAATCCTATGTTTGGATTGGGGCCACTACTGCCGCATGTGGGTGTGGTCACTCTAAAGAAATTACCCAACCCAATACAAAAATTCAATATTTTCTTCCCATATCTACTTTAGTTGCCCATCTCGCATATCTGCACATTCATGTATTGCCACTTCTTTGAATGTGTGTGAGAAAAATAATAAAGAAAGATCAAGACAATAATAGAAAGAGTGAATTCAGCCCTCTGCCACACACAGTTCAGCCCTTCAGTTCTGATTTATGATGTATCTTCATAAATGTGATTAATATCTAGTCAGGTATCACCCTCATTATTCTGAGGCACATTTGACATTCTGTTCCTCTGACTGTAAGGGAAAATATTAATATAAAATAAATGTATTCAAAGTGACAGAAGTATGCGTGTACTGACCCTTGGCCCTGTGTCTCCTTGATCACCCTACAACACAAAAAGACAAGAAATACAATTAGCAACACGCAAACTATAGTAAATACTAGATTTCTTGATATTCTGAAGAGAATTTTAGTGGTTCGTGACTGTGTGTGGATGATTGCTGAGGTGCCTATGTGGTGGTTTGCAATTTGTCCGTCCACACCGAAGGTGAAAATGTTGTTGGAAGTGAGATGTATGAAATATTACTTGATGATACTTGTCTTAAACATTGCTTTTGTTTTACATCTAACAGAAAGCTTCCTGACCCACGAACAAGATGAGTTAGCTCATTTAATCAGCCTCAGTCATAATTTAACCTTTATCTTATAACAAGAGAGCATATAAATGAAATCAGGGCAGAGACTCTGTTTACTAATTACTATAAATGAGGAACACTAATCTGGGAGAAAAAGCATCCTGAGGCTCCATGTTTTTGTTTTATTGTGCATATACTTTTTTTTCACTGCAACCAGGAAAAGACTTCAAGACGGTCTTCATTTACCACAGGTTTCTTGTTTCTCTAATTTCATGCCTGACACGGTTTACATCCCCTCCAAAACATGTGTTTGAAGACAAAAGCCAATGCAAATGAAATTTGTGAGTTGTTTTAGAAATTGGAAAACATCTGCTTGCTGAACGAAGCATCCTGTGTGTGTGTGTGTGTGTGTGTGTGTGTGTGTGTGTGCTGTACAATATTGACGAAAAAAAGATACTAAATGTACCTTATCTCCTTTTGGTCCTGGCAACCCCTGGAAATAAATGAGTTGGGTGTGATGATTAGACAGATTGTCCAAGATGAAAAATTGACATGACTAAAGTCTAAGGGAAAATATAGCATAGTTAAAAAACATACCATGTGAACCATAAGTCATTCACTAAGAGTCTTTAGCATCTCAGTATCCTCTAACTTTCACGTGCATCTCATCTTCAAAGTTTTTTCTAAGTCATCTTTTTCCCAACTAAAAGTATAGGCTGCACCTCACATCTGCACTAGATATAGCTGTAATCTTTGATCTTAAAAGTCATTTGCAAATAACATGGTCAAAAGTCTGGGAATATGATGAATGCACAACTGACTGAACATAAAGAAAATGGTTGGAGTGAAACTATGTGAGTGGAAATGATAGGGAAGAGAGTCTATGGCAACCTTCATACCACAAGACAACTGCCAAATTCACATTTTCTGCACAAATCTGATATTTGTATGAGCTTGTTCACATGACCTTCTCACTGTGACCCATTTCAGACAGTGGTCTGAACTGACGAGGCTTCGAAACTGATCTACATGTGTAAAACACATTGCTTTGAAAAATAGAGGCAATGCTAGTGAAGCTGATGCAAAGTGCATGTTGAATAATTATGAGGGTAAAAACATGCTGTAAAAACATACTCCAATTAAAACATATTTTATTTTTTAATCAATAGCAGTTTTAACTGTAAACTGTCAGTAAACTGTAAACTGTAAATGTGTTTGTCACATTGCAAAAGTGCATTACCATAATTTAATTCCACATATGAAAGTAGAAAAGGCTGGCATTAAAAATGTCAGAGTCAGTGTGATTCTTGCTGTTCACACTGTCATCTAAACAACATCTGTGTCACATGTGAATTAAATCAGATTCAACCGTGGTGCAACTACAAACTCTTACTCATTTTAGATAGAGAATATTCTATGATGCACATCAGTTATATGCATCACAACATTTTCAGCCTGAATGAGACCTACTGTATGACCACCTTAGACTTTCTTTCATGCGAGTCAAAACAAAACAACTGTCTTTCACAGGAAGCCACAGACGAATGGCGTTTTGAGGTGGTCTGCTTTCCAGAAGAAGTGGTTTACGTTACATTGGACAAATGGCTTTTCTTTGGCAGCGCTAAAGAGCGTGACAGGGTTCATAAACGACTGCCTATCTGCAACAGCACAAGCTAACAATGATGAATTCTCTCCTTTTGGTGTATAATCCATTATTTCCATCTCATTTGCGGATAGACATACAAGGTAAAAGACACTTTGTGGTGTGTGACCCTATATCTGAGGTGATAGATGGCTTGAAAACTTAAATAGGAGTTTAATCCCCCTGATGCCATGCAAAAATAAAACCATAATTCCTCATGTACACAGTATGAGCGAACAGCTTGCAGATTTGCGTTTATAACTTCCATAAACCTACTGTATGAAGTAGCACTTATTTGTCTACAATATAAGACAATAACCTTCAGGGCACAGTAGAAATTTGAAATTGTATTTACCTGGCTTCCTTTAGGTCCAGGGTTACCCTGCAAATAAACAAATCAATTATTCAATTTCTAGTCAAAAAGAGCTTAAAAGAGCCCACCTCTAAATCTCTATGACATTGTGGTCTCTAATTATGGTTCAGGTCCCTCTTTCAATGTAAGTATGTCATTTTTTCAACTGATTTAACATCCGCAAGTCAAACATCATAATTCTGATTGCTTAGAAAAGTTACACAATTGAGGCATCATTTATATTCGCAACATAAACACAGATTTACATGGCAGATTTTGTCACTGGTGTGGTACCATAAGGTACAACGTCTAAAAGACACATCTTTGTACCTTGTTTACCCCTAAATGGTACATATTAGTGCCTTAAAGTACATATTATGACCTAAAATGTACATATTAGCATCTTTTGAAAGGGTACCATCTCAGTTACAGTTGTGTACCTTTTTTCTGGCAGTGTAATGGTTAGTGTTTATGAGCAATAATAATAAAAAATAATGCATGTAATTAAATGAAAGAAGCATCAACTTTGTGGCTGTTTCAGTTACAAGCTTCTTCCAAAGTGACTTAAATCATTTGAAAGCCAAATGTTACTCATAAATTCACATACTACCTTGGAAAAGCAGATTAAGTAATTAAATGTCCAGTAATGTGAGAATTCAAAACCTGTTTTCCAAACACACATACACACACACACACACACACACACACACACACACACACACATTCTCATCTTGTCTCTTTAAAGCTCGGGAA